TGAAGAAGGAGTCAAAGCAGGGAAAAATACCCTGATGTGGCTGGAAGTGAAGAGGACAGCAAAGAAATACTTGTTCAAGTTCAATTAGGCCAGGAATTGTCTCGCTTCAGAACTTCAGTTGCGTTCCAGTTTCTTTGTCTTTCCCAGTGCATTGTTTTGCCATTATATTTTTGTTTTGCCTAAGAAATTTATAGCTGATGGAAGGAAAAGGAGGAGGAAAGTAGAGAAAATTCCTAGTGCTGGACTGTAGATTGAACCACATTTTCTCCAGTAAACATTACTATGTCAGGTCCGGCAGTGGATTTCTTCAAGATGCATAATTAAAAGATGACACTCTTGGTGAACAGGCCTAACTGAAACTGTCCAAAATACAGCACCTTAGCTTTCATCCTGTAGGAAATGAAAATCCAGATACTTTTTACATAATTTTTAATTGTTGTTAAAATTAACCTCTATACAATTTCTTTTTCAACTGAATTCTCATATTTACTTCATTACAAATTCCCCTGTCATGGATCAACTCTTTAACTAAAAAACTAAGTGAAATAAAATGAACCTAGTATTTACCAAGATGGTGAGTATCAGCAGGATTTTTTTCTCTCTTGATGACAGACAGCTGGTTTCACTACTAACATTGGCTTTTTGACAGCAAGTTCCATGGTTATGAACTGAAGCTACTAGGAATGACTTAAGATGACTCTTGGATGACCATGGTCTACCTGAGAAAAAGACTTAGAAGATAACAATTCTAGGTGGGACTGGTCAGAAAGCCAAGTCTCCTTTTTCCTTTCCACTGTCTGCTTTGAAGAATGCATAAATTTTAACTGTACATTTTGATATGGTTTTTTAATGTCTACTTTTAAATGTTAACCTACAGGTTGACTGCTGTTTCAATTTTTAGATTTTAAAGTAGTTTTTTAATGTTCTTTTCATGGTTATAATAGCTACCATAAACCAGTTCTATCTCTTCTGCATGGCAGGTACGGCAACTTTGCATTGTGAAAGAGATCTGTTTTGATTTCAGTTAGTATTGAACTTTCATTACAGTGATTTTGTATTTTATAAATTTATCAAGAAAATTCTTGTCTTAATTTTTTTTAAACTTCTGGAAAAAATCTCTCTCATTGAAACCTCACTGGGTTAATCATTGGGTTAACCTCACTGAACTTAATCCGTTATGGTACTCTTGTTGTCTCTGTGACTTTAAAATCAATATTTATGAAAATGTGTATTTTTCTGCTCGGGTGAGCTATAATGGAATGAGTTGATGATTTGCCTATTACCTGGATGAAAGATTGAAATATTATCATGGACTTGGATGAGTCAACATGCTCTCAACATTAATGTTGCAGTGCTCTTTGTATGATGAGCTAAAAGGGAATTTTTATGTAGGCTATAAGCTTATTTGCATCCAGTGTTGCATTACTTGTAAAATACATACGTATACAGAGTGGATGATACAGATCATACATACACTAGTTAGTTGTTTTTCAGTAAGAAAAAGGCTGGCAAAACTTTTGAAGGAGCTGTGCATTAACAAGCTTCTTAAAACTTGCACACTGTTTAATAATTTCCTCCATCAATATTGGGAAGAATTGATATTAACATTAGTGCCCTATGAGAATCTAGGGCAACATATAAAATTAGAGTCATGACTTTCAGAATAGAGATAGATAGATGTATAAAGTCCAAATTTTGTGTTCTGGAAAAAAAAGCTTTTCCTGGTCCAATACTAACCCCTAAACCATCTGGTATAGCAGCTTCATAACTGAATTTGGCCAACTGTGTATATGGGATTGTAGCCTTAGTAAATAAGCTGGTTTACATGTATTTAATTTGTTCTCCTAGGGAGTTCCGTACAGCCACTACTTCAATGGGCATGGCTTACAAATTGGAAGTAATACAAGCTATGAAGGTGAAATCTTTATTATTGTTGTCTTTCAATAAAATAATAGGATAAATGTTTCAGAAACAGCAGTTTTAAAGAGGACGACTGAAATAGAATCTACTTAGGTTACATGATTAGAAAACTATATGGTAAATTCCATGACCATTATGACCAATAGTGGGGGATATTAGGAATTATGGTTTGGTATAATATTGTGGATGAAGGAGCACCTCCTGCACCTTATTGTTCCTTACTGCTGTTGTCGAAAGACATAACATATGCTTTGCTTAGATTTTTAACTGGTGGTATGAGGATATCTTTGCCAAAATATTTATGATTATAAAGAATAAAAAAGCATCTTGCTAATATACAGGGGAAACTGCAGTACAGTATTGTCACAGACACAGACTTACACAGAGTTCATCATTTCTCCCTTTTCCTTATAAAAATCTCCATAAGAATGCTGTATGAAAGTCTCCATAACATATGCATGCATATGCACCAAAATAGTGATAGCTGTTTCCTATGGGCTGACATTAGCTACTTCTTGCTTTCCCCAGGCAATCGACAGATGTGCTTGGCAGGAATCCTGACGTATCATATATTCCTTTTCTCCAGCATTTTCTTTCTGAAAATGTTGCTTGTATGTTTACACAATCAAAAGCTTTTTCCCTGTCTCATTTTTTTTAAATCAGTATTTTCAGATGTTCAAATAAATTTTGGCATGGCGGTGGATAATGCTTTCATGCTTGCCAATTAATTAATACTTTGCCCAGCTGATTTTTGTGCAAAAATCTGCCTTTCCCATTTTTGACCCTGAAAAATCTATTCATTCAGATAGCCTGGCCTGGATGCATTTCCTGTATTTAAGTGACAGTTCACTCTAAATTCTCTTGCAATGCAGTAAAACATGAGCAGGATTCTTAATTTAAAAAACATACTCCTTTCTTTTGTTTTTCATACCAGAGCTGGGGCTTCTTCCTCCTCCCTTCCCCAAAATGCATATGCACCACTGAACATTTTGACCATATTTTAGATTATTGATTGCCTTAGCTTGATGTTGATATATAATTAGCAGACAGACAGACAGACAGACACACACACCCCTACATAGAAGAGTGTTAGGATTGGTGCCAGGTTCAGCAGTGACTTTGATACTTGCATAGTGGGCTCAACTTTCAGCCTGGCTCCTCTTTCGTCCTCTTCCCCTTGTCGGGCCAGCATCAGACAGATGCTGCTGCAAAAGAACTTTGCTGGCAAGTCTGTGGTTGGCTCTATTATCAGGTTGTGCTGGAACGATTCCAGGACCATCAATTTGAATTTATGAAAAACTCACATCCAACTTGGATGGCATGAAATTACAGTATATTAACTTGATAGGTCTTTCTATAAGGGGTCATTTTATGCCACAAGTCCTGTTTTTTACGTCTATATATTTAAGAACTGCTCTGTCTGTCTGGGTCACATCTAGGACTTTGAGAGTATATACAGTAGAGTGGTACTATGGATTTTATTCAAATTACTCAAATGAAACTTGCACATGTTCTTGAATTCTGTTCTGACCCTGTTAGTATGAAATGTGACCAGTTTTGGAAAACTAAAATACTTGTATGTATGTTTTAGCTTAAATTTTACAGTTCTTGTTGTGGCCAATTCTGGCTAAAAATATTTGCTTATTTACATATGTTTTTATTATTGACAGACAATCGATAAATGGGATTTTAATGTGTTTACCTTAGATGAAGCTGCTGAAGGACACTGCTTAAAATTTATGATGTGCGAAATATTCGCCAAATATGATCTTTTGAAACGTTTCCAGGTCAGGAGCTAAATATCAAACAAAACCATAATATGTTAAATATGTGTGTGTATCAGGAAATACAGAAGTCCAAATTCTTAACAGGCTTAATACAAAGCACAAACAGTATTAAGACATGATCATCAAGTTAACTTAGTCTGTAAAGTTCATGAGGAGCAAAATAAGATGCTTTGGTATATCTCACCCTTAGGACTTAAGAGAAAAAATTAGCAAATTTCTGAACAGATGAAGAATTGAGCTGCTCCTCTTGACTTTCTAAAAAAAAAAAAAAAGAAAGGTCTTTTCATGGTGCCCCAGTATTAGCATTGTTTTGGTTCTAATCCATGTATAATTAAAACCCTCCAGTGACATTGAATACTGAAAATCAGTAGTTGAAAGAATGATATCTTGTTTGATCTTGTTAATAGCTATTGTGCACTCAATTCTTGTCTCCACAGATACCAATTACCACTCTAATCTCCTTTGCAAAAGCTTTGGAAGCTGGTTACAGTAAACACAAAAATCCATATCACAATTCAATCCATGCTGCAGATGTTACTCAAACTGTGCATGCCATTATGATTCATACTGGAATGCTGGTAAGAAATGACACAATACCCCAGAGAGATAAATTCTCTCTTTAAGAGGTCTTGGACATAAGTCACATATGATAGTTGTATGCCACACCTGGCAACTACCTACTACCCATAAATTAATAATGTACTTTGTGTACTCAGTGGAAAAGTAAAGTTTTTACTCATGAGATTTCCAGTGGCAGAAAAAGCTCTGCTGGTTTAAAGTCTATTTGCCTTCTCTGCTTCCTCATCAGTGAAGTAAAGAAGCAGGTCTGGATGCACCTATAAGGTTGTATCTGTCTCTATGAAATAATAGATAATAAACAACCTAATGGTGCAGACCAACATTGCACAAAATGTAACCCAGATTCTATTGTCCCTCCAGTTGTTATTATTATCTTCCCATTCTCTCCCTGTGATGAATTCCTTGATAATATTTACACTGTACTCTCACTGGGACAAAAAACCCAAACCAACTCAGTAATACTACAGGTATAGAAAAATAATGGAATCAAATTGCATTTTACGCATGGAAAATGAAGCACCATTGGAGTGCTATAAAGGCAAGCAAATCTGTGATACTTTGATCCTTCAGATAAAATTAGAAATTTGCTTTTAGTGCTTTTATTGATTTTAAGTTCCCCTTTCCAGTTCCTATAGCTGCTGGACACTTTATTTCAGTCATGTCCAGTATTTTCCTTCATGTTTCTTCCAAACTCTAAGTTCTCCACCTGTTTCTGGTGTGGAAGCCCATATTTCTAGATCTCAAGAGTATCTTGGATGCCTGGCATAAAAGGAAGAAATTTCAGATGAAACCTTCATCGGCGGGGTAAATGTCATCTGGAACCTGCCAGAGGGACTTCTGATTTACTGTCTTTTGATTTTCCCTGTGCCTCCCAGAGAAAGTTGTGAACCAATAAATTGGCTAAAGTTGTCAGGATGGATATTCTAACCAAATGTACAACAAGCCATTTACTTTTATTTGCATAAAAATGAGAAAAGCATGTGGTTCGACAGATGTTGCTAACACAGTTTCCAACATTCACCACCACTGACATCATGGTGCACTTTGCAATGATTTTTGAGTTACTGTAGTTTGTGCTGGTGTGTCTATGTTTATCAGAGAATCTTACATATGGAGATGCAGGAGGAGGAAGTCACTGGATCCTGGCACAAGCTAAAGTACTTGATAACCCACTTAATATCCACCTGAACCTGCCATTTATTGCCTATGAGAGGACATTTGTTTTAGTAAAAATCCTTTCCTCCCATTCCCCATCTATTTTGTAAACCAAGAGATAGTATTTACATATATTTACTGTACACTTCGTATTTTATTGCATTAAGGAACATCATGAGCTTCTAATTCTTTCCACTAGCAATGGTTCACTGACCTGGAGATCTTAGCTATTTTTTTTAGCAGCAGCATCCATGATTATGAGCACACCGGGACCACAAACCATTTCCACATAGAGACAAGGTAAATCATCTGTCCTATTCAACCTGTTGCCAAAATGGAAAGATTGAGTGGTTTAATGAATTAAATACACAATATGTGTACTTAAGCTGATACACAATATGTGTACTTAAGTTCAGCAAATCAAGCAGTCCCTGCCTGTGCCTTCCTCTGAGATAGGGAATTATTACTCCTTCTGAGACAAGGACTGGCAAACAAGTAGTTGTATGATGACTCAGAGCTTGAGATTAATCTTTCACTCCCCAGTTCCTACAGTTGATATCTGTTGTATTCTGGAGGATGGGCGTAATAACGGAGACGAGGCATCGAATAGTGACTCCAACTCTTTATTAGTGACTTCAGAACAGAGTGAAATAAGCCTGGCAGCAGCAGCTCCTTTTATAGAGCTGGCTGCTGTCAAAGCTTCCAATGACAATGATTTAAGCTTGCCGCGCTTGGAGCATCCAATCGCGGCAGCCCGCTAACTAGCCAATCGGATCAGCCCGGAGCGACCAATCACGACCCGCTGTTTATGGACCAATCAAGTATGCAGGATTACGAGCCTGCTGTGGATGGGCCAGTAAGGTTTGCAGGCTTATGAGCCTGCTAGTTCAGAACACCCCTCCCCTCTAGGTTCCGTCTCAGGGGTGGGGTGATGTATTCGCGCAGGTAGGCAGGCCTACGCACCTGTCTACCTGATTTGCGTTGTTCAAAATGTCTTTGCTCGGATTCTGGTTCTGATGGACTGCTTGCTGGGCTTGGCTGTAGAGGTGACCTGGCTTCTACGCTGGGTATCCTTGGAGGTGATTCGGGGATACCTTCAACGCTTCCTTCATTCCTGTCATCTGGGTTCTCTGGACTCGCTGACCCTGTTCGGCTGCTGTTACCTGGAGAGATGACCATCTGCCACGGTTCCTCTTCAGCTGGTGAATATGCTGGACTTTGCTGTACTGGTTGTGGGGTTGTGTTTACTGAACCAGGTGTTAGTTCATTTTCAAAACCCTCGGTTTCCCTTCCCCCTCTGGTTTCGAGTTCGGGGTTTGTGATGGGGGTTGTGGTCAACCTTGAGCGCAGCTGGTCGATGTGGCGTTTCCACAGTCTCCCATCTGTGGTTTCTAACCGGTAGGAGCGGGGGCCCGTAATTTGTGTTATTTTGGCAGGGATCCACAATGGGTCACCTGTAAAGTTCTTTGCAAATACGGGGTCTCCTACCTTAAATATGCGGTGTTTGCTGCTGGAACCCAGGGGCTTTTCTGGGGTGTATGCAGGGTGTAGGCGGTCTAGATGCGATCTGAGTTTTCTGCCCATCAGGAGTTCGGCTGGGCTTTTGTTTGTGGTGCTGTTTGGTGTAATATACTGGAGGAGGAGCATCCTGGTGACTTTGTCGTGGATGTTTCCTTGTTCCATTTTGTGCAAAGTTTTTTTGGTGAACTGAACCATTCGTTCAGCCCTGCCATTGGCCGCCGGGTGAGCAGGTGATGTCAAGGCGTGGCGTATTCCCCAGTCTGCTAGGTATTGTTCAAACGCCAAGGCGGTAAATTGCGGGCCATTGTCGGAAACCAAGACATCTGGTAACCCGTGCGTTGCAAACAGTCTGTTCAATTTTTTGATGACCACTTCTGTGGTGGTGGCCTTCATCTTGTTAACCTCGAGCCAGTTCGAGTAGGCGTCTACTGTTATCAGGAAAGTATGTCCTTTTGTAGGTCTCGCAAAATCGATGTGGATGTGGGACCATGGACCCCTGGGCGTTTCCCATTCCGTTGGTGGTGCTTTTGGTGGGGCCGAATGTGTTTCTTGGCATTTGCTACAGGTGGCAACCCAGGCTTCAATTTGTCTGTCCATACCTGGCCACCAGGCGTAGCTCCTTGCCAGTGCTTTCATTCGTACGATGCCCGGGTGTCCATCATGTAGCAATTTTAAGACTTTCTTTTGTAGTTTTTCTGGAATAACTACTCGGTCTCCCCACAAAACGCACCCTTTTTGGGAGAAAAGTTCTGTTTGTCTGTTCTTGAAGGGTTTAAAAGTGTCGTTGGGTTCGATTTCCGGCCATCCCCTCTCCACCCAGCTGAGGACCCGTGCCAAGCAAGAGTCCTTTTTTGTTTCCAGTGCGATATCTTGTGCAGTTAGTGGAGGTGAGGGAAGCATCTCAATTTGTAGCGTGGATAGTGTGGGAGCCGGGTTGTCTAGGAACTCAGGTAGTGGAGAACGGCTTTAAGCGTCAGCATGGGGAATGGTTTTCCCTGGTCGATGTCTCAACTGGTAGTCGTAGGCGGCTAAGAACTCCGACCATCGTGTCATCCTTGGCGATAGAATGTGGGGAGTTGGTTTGTCCCCTGCCAGAATGCCAAGCAATGGCTTGTGATCTGTGATTATGGAAAAGGATCTTCCATACACGTATTCGTGGAACCTTTCAATCGCAGATACAATAGCGAGGGCTTCTTTATCTAAATGACTATAGTTTCTCTGTTTTAGACAAAGTTCTTGAAAAGAATGCAATAGGCGCCTCTGTACCGTTTGGTAGGACGTGGCTCAGGATGGCTCCTACCCCAAAAGGTGAGGCATCACAAGTCACAGTCAATGGTAGTGTCTCGTTATATTGGATTAACACTGCATCTGACGTTAAAAGGTCTTTTACTTGTTGGAAAGCCTGCTCCTCTCGACGTCCCCAAAACCAGGAAGCCTTCTTGTCAAGGAGCCTATGCAGGGGTTCAGCAACAGTTGCCTTCTGGGGTAGGAAGATGTTATAAAAGTTAATGAGTCCCAGGAAGGCTTGGAGGTCTGTTTTGTTCTTTGGTCTTGGGGCATTTTTAATGGCAGCCAATTTCTTTTCAGTAGGGTGAATTCCCTGTTTGTCAAGAAGGTAACCAAGAAATTCAACCCTCTCAGTGCATAACTGTCACTTTTCCTTCTTAACCTTGAGGCCTGCGTCTTTGAACCTTTGTAGAACAGTTCTCAGGCATTTTTCTAACTGACTTCTTGTAGGGGCGGCTATCAATACATCATCGAAGTAGGGCACAACCCCTTTTATGCCCTGCAGCAACCTTTCCATCAAGCTTTGAAAAATGCCAGGTGCTACACTTACTCCAAACTGGAGTCTATTACATTTGAACGCACCCCTGTGCGTGACTATGGTTTGGGCTTCTGCGGTTTCTGCGTCTAATGGCAGCTGTTGATACGCTTGGGCCAGGTCAAGCTTCGCGAATACCTTTCCGCCCCCAAGCGAGTGAAGAAGGTGTTGGACCACGGGCACTGGATAGGCGCTCTGCTGTAACACGTGGTTTAGGGTGGCCTTGTAATCCCCACAGATTCTCAAGGATCCGTCAGGTTTTATGGGGGTTACAATTGGGGTCTCCCATCGGGCGTGGTCGATGGGCTCTAACACGCCTTGTGCTATTAATTTGTCCAATTGCTCATCAATTTTTGGTTTGAGAGCAAAGGGAACTCGGCGTGGCTTTAGGCGAATGGGTGCGATATCAGGGCAGAGATTAAACGAGATGGGGGACCCCTTGTACTTGCCTAATTGCTCAGTGAAGACTTCTTGAAAGTCCCAGACGAGGGCCGCCTCCCAGTCTTCATCTACAGTCTGGTTGATGCCTGCCATTTCGATTCCTAATGGCGTGAACCACTGCAACCCCAATAAGCTGGGCCGGTCTCTGTCAACGATGGTGAGAGGTAGTATTGCGGTGTGGTCTTTAAATGAGACCTGGACGTGACTGGAACCAGCAACCGGGATTCGATTGCCCTGGTAGTCCTTTAATATAAGTCTCTGAGTGCTGAGATCCTGGCGGCGGATGTCAGGGATCAGCTGCTTGAGGGTTTTCCAGGAGACCATGGATAGGGAAGACCCGGAGTCGACTTCCATGATGCACGGTCGATTTTCAATGGTGACCTTTACCCGGATTTTTTTTTGCGTCCAATGATGAAGCGTGGCCGATGGTGATGGTCTGATGTGCCTCTTCCCGTCTGGTAGCGCCAGCAAACATTCGGTTTCTGTTGTACTGGCTCCACTGGTTGTTTGGGCGGTCCCGGTTTGTTGGTGGGGTGCCTGATGCTTGCCGGAAACTATTTTCTTTCCTCTTGGGGCTGGATCCTCATTTGTTCCTACACACTTTAGCAATGTGGCCCCTTTTATCACAGGAACGACAGATGGCGTCTAGGAACCTGCAGTCTGATCGTGGGTGGTTTCCCCCGCATCCAGCGCATTGGAAATTGGATTTACGACCTCGCTGGTCTCGCTGCTCGCGCTCTGACCTGAGTCTGTTGACTTCTTCCTCCTCACTGTCTGATGAGGACTCGATGTCCTCATGGTGGGCGGCTGTTGTGTGTCTTTCTGAGGATATTGTTGTGTCGCTGGTGGGTTGGCGGTTGGCTCCATTCGCTCGACGCATTCGGGCTGCTGACTTGCGGGTAGCTTCTGCTGCAGTGGCATCTGCTATGGCATCTGCGAGGGTGATGTCTCCCTTTGCCATAATTTTGCTTTGGACAGTGGGGTCTCTTAGACCTAGGACAATCCGATCTCTCATGGCTTCTTCTAGATTTACGAAGCCAAATAGTCCACCCAAATTTCTTAGGTCAGCTACAAAGTCCCCGATGTTCTCACCTTCGCGTTGGTCCCTCTGGTAAAATTCGTGTCTTCTAATGAGGGTTGGAACTGCTGGAGCGTAATGGGCCCGAAGGATGGGAGCAACGGTATCCCAGTCCATCGTTTTGACTTCAGCCGATTTTGCAAGTGCCTTTGCCATTCTGAAAACGGCGGGTCCGCAATGCGTTAGGAAAACCGCATGTTTCTTGCTAGATGTAGCATCCTTCAGATTATTAGATTCCAGGAACATTTGAAACCTGTCCATATACGAGTCCCAATCTTCGCTGGCTGGGTCAAACGGGGCGGGTGGTATAGCGCTGCTGGCCATTCTGCCGGTATCGGTGCGCCTTCAGCCATGTGCTCTGTCAATATTCTGCGAGTGCTCAGTCAGCTCTATCGTCTCCGCATCCCATCCTCGTCACCAGTGTTGTATTCTGGAGGATGGGCGTAATAACGGAAACGAGGCATCGAATAGTGACTCCAACTCTTTATTAGTGACTTCAGAACAGAGCGAAATAAGCCTGGCAGCAGCAGCTCCTTTTATAGAGCTGGCTGCTGTCAAAGCGTCCAATGACAATGATTTAAGCTTGCCGCGCTTGGAGCATCCAATCGCGGCAGCCCGTTAACTAGCCAATCGGATCAGCCCGGAGCGACCAATCATGACCCGCTGTTTATGGACCAATCAAGTATGCAGGATTACGAGCCTGCTGTGGATGGGCCAGTAAGGTTTGCAGGCTTACGAGCCTGCTAGTTCGGAACAATATCATCCAGCCATAGAAGTGTGGGAGCTAATGTTATTTAGTGTTTGATTTATTTCCCATTAACGGTAGTTGTAGAGTAGCTGAAGCCCAAAGCATTCATTCCACTACCCCTGTATTTCATGACAGTGAACTTTGCTGTTCATGACAATACAAATTTCTCAACTGTTTGACGTTTCCACTAATAATTTTTTAAAATGAAAATACAATATAATCTACTTCATTTTGCTTGCAAAGACTCAATTTTTAAATTTATCTTTAAAATGTTGAGCAAGGGGACCAAGGTACATAGTTCTCTCTCAGCCAACCATAAAGTTGCTGCTAAATAACCTCTATTCAGATAGACATTTATGAAACTGTTATTCTAAAAAGTAAACTTAAAGGGTCTGTCTGTCTGTCCGTTTATCTAATCTGTCTATCTAATCTGTCTATCTATCTATCTATCTATCTATCTATCTATCTATCTATCTATCTATCTCCATCAATTTAACACAAACATTCTTTGGACTTCTGCACTAGGTCAAAAGCTGCTCTTTTGTATAATGATAGATCAGTTCTTGAAAACCATCACCTGAGTGCTGCTTTCCGCCTGCTACAAGACAAAGATACAAATATCTTAGGCAACTTAACCAAAGATGAGTGGAGGTGAGGCTATCTAAATATTGATACGTAGCTAAGCTGTTTCAAAATATATTAATTGCCAATTACTTTTGGATTTGGTGTTCTTTCTTTTGCTTTCAGAATTGTCTTTAAGGAACTATATTAAAACTTCCACATATGTCTCCTTGTCATATATGACAGCTATAGCCTGTACATTAGACAGGTGGCCAAGCAAATGTAGGCTAATAGCTTTGCATTCACTTGGAAAGCTGCTATGAAGGTTTTACCATTTTATTTACTTCTTGTTTTCAGATTTACAACTATCACACTAAATCAGAAAATTGATTAAATCATAAGATCCATCACCTAATGCACAGTTTAAATGCTAAGGTTAATATTTAAAATAATTTAACTATTAATTAAAATGAAATAATTTGGCATTTGATACGGCAGCATTAGTTGCCATTAATTTCTGAAGGCCTTCAGGAAGAGCTATTTTTCTACCTATTTTCAGAAGGCCACAAGAGTGGGGCACCCTTGTTTCTTAGGGAAGCACTTGAAAAAAAAGTGAAGTACAGGTAGTCCTCGACTTACAACAGTTAAATGCTCGAAGTTACAACGACACTGAAAAAAGTGACTTATGACTATTTTCACCCTTTCAACCATTGCAGTATTCCCATGGTCACGTGATCGACATTCAGATGCGTGGCAACTGACTCATATTTATGACAGTTGCAGTGTCCTGGGGTCATAGGATCCCCTTTTTCTGACAAGCAAAATAAATGGGAAAGTCAGATTCACTTAAAAACCATGTTGCTAACTGAACTAATTGCAGTGATTCACTGAACAACTGTGGCAAGGAAGGTTGTAAAATGGAGCAAAATTCGTTTAACAACTGTCTCACTTAGCAACAGAAATTTTAAGCTTGCAAGTTGAGGACTACCTGTAGTCAAATCGTGTAAGTTGCTACAGTGTAAATACCAATGGTTTTCAATAACTCTTTGAATTTACTCTAAAGTTGTTTCCCTGCTTCTTTCATGTTGGGAATGTGAATGACTACTTGAAAAATTTCTCAGATGTCCAAATGTGGAAGTTAATTTGTTCACATTTGGAGATGGCCCAAGGGACTTCTTTCCATGCAAACCTCACTGAAGCAGAACAGTTTAGAACAAGTAGTGAAGGCATGCAGTGAATGGCTTATACAGATGGAAATAGATAAAAAAAATCCCGAAGCCATACTTTGGAGCAAGTGCCTGCAAATTGTTTTTCCCAAGTAGAAGATATGATAAAGTGCCTTTTAGGCAGGGGTGGGATCCGACAGGGTCAACTACCGGTTCGGTGATTTATGATGTGCTTCTCTGCACGCTGCGCACGTATGTAAATCTTCGTCAGCTTGCTGCCTGGACAGCTGAGCAGCGCTGCATGCAGGGAAGCAGCATTTGAAAAAGCACTTTTTCCCTGCTTTTTCAACCACAGTTGTGCCTCGCACGGCAGCTGAGGTTGAAAAAGCAGGAAATAAAGATCAGGTAAAAGCCCGGGCGGGCGGGTGGGCCAAAACAGCAGCAGACATAGAACCGGTTATATGTCTGCTGCTCTTCAGAGCTACCGGTTCTATAGAGCCAGGCAGAACCAGTAGCATCCCACCCCTGCTTTTAGGGCTTGGTAATATTTGGACATTCTTATTTTGACAACACCTAGAATAAAATGTTTCTGTCTGCTTTCAGGGAACTGCGTCGCATGGTTATTAATGTAGTTTTATCTACAGATATGTCACATCATTTCCAGCAGTTGAAAATCATAAAACATATTTCCCAGTGTCTCCAGCTAGCTGACAGGTTAGTTGTATTGAAAAGAGAAGCTGTCCTCACTCTGAATAGGGAGCAGGAGGGGGGCATGGAGCGTGGCTAAGAGTTCTAAAGATTTTCTGGCTAAAAAAAAAAGTGGTTCTTTTTTTGTCTGATGATCAGAATCTTAATTTGACAGGACACACAAGGATAAAATCATGTCTTTTCTGGTACACATAGCTGATATCAGCCATCCAGCAAAGCCTTGGGAACTGCACCATCAATGGTCAGAAGCATTACTGGAAGAATTCTTTGAACAGGTGCAGAATTTAAAAGTCTAAGCATATATTATAAGTCTGTGCAACAATTCAGATTCAAAGGCAAAAGGCTGTTTCAGAGCATACAGAATGCAAATTTAGTACCTGTCTGCAGCTTCTTATATGTCTTTAAGGACTTTTTGGTCTCTTCCTCATCCCTGCCTTCCTTCAGCACTCCCCAACTTTGCAATGGAGCATATGGAAAAAAGGCAGGGGAGGGGGATAGTTCAGCATATTTACAGTGTCAATTGTACTGATGGAAAGAAATTTCAGGCTAAAATCTTCTGATACCTTGTGTGGCTCTAGGTATTTTTGCTAAAATGTATGTTTCTTTCTTCCTGTTTTAGAAAGCGCATTTTCAAAATACTGTTTTTAACTGTTTTCATAGTGTAGCATCTTTAAAGCATCACCTGTTCAGAATAGCTCATGCTTGTGTGAATTCCTTCCTCCAATGCTAGGGAGACAAAGAGGCTGAAATGGGACTTCCAATTTCTCCGCTCTGTGATCGCAAGACAACCAATATTGCAGAATCCCAAATAGGTGAAGCTCATTTAAAAGGAGGGAGGCAATCTTTGTTTTCCCCCACTCTTTTTACTTCTGACATTGTTGATTCTTCTTCCTAACTATCCTCCAAACAATGATTGTTCTTTATGTAAAGCTTCTTTTTTTTTTAAGCTTCCCTTGGCAGTAACAACTAGTATACAGAGAGGGGTCTTGGTAACAAGTCAGATTGCAATTATGATTTAATTAAATTACAATGTCATATTTTCCTCTTTTAGTGCAGATTTTTCCCTCATCAGTCACATTGGGGGTAATTCTTTTAAGTGTAGCAAAACAACTATCAGAACAAAGAATGATTCCCTTTTCCTTAGGTAATGCAATGCATACATCATATGAAGCCACGGTTTCGATAAAGGACAGTATTTGTAGCTCAGGGCTGAAATGAGGGGTCTTTGGTGCTCTCTGAGCTTGGCTCTTTTCTTGAAGACGTTTCATTACCCAAACTAGGTAACATGATGCTGTTACCTAGTATGAGTAATGAAACATCTGCAAGGAAACAACCAAGCCCACAGAGCACCAGAGAGCTACACTGATGTTTTGTTGAATCACACTGATATAGTTTACATATAACATTAAGCTGGAAAATTGTTTCCAGCTTAATGTTATATGTAAACTAAACATGCCTTTCGGTGGAAAGAAATTCTGCTTCCATCTGCTTTTTTGGAAAGAGATCAAAGAATTAAAAGTAATGCTTCTGCACACAATATGTATAACCAAGCAATGTTTTGCTGCAGAAAACCCCACCAGGTTAGCAAGTGGGACATTGTGAGTTCAAGTCCTGCCTTAGCCATGTAAGCCACCTGCGTGACTTTAGGCCAGTCACTCCTCTCAGCTCAAACCACCTCACAGGTTTGTTGTTGTGGGGAAAATAGGAGGCGGAAGATCTATTGGATATATTCACTGCCTTGGGTTATTTGTAAAATAATAAAGGCAGGATACAAATAAA